GATCGATTGTACAATAATTACCAATCGATGTTTGTAAACGTGTATCCAAATTTGTATGAACTAATTTGTGTTGCAAGATAATAAGAGAGAGAGAGTTAAGTAAAGTATGATTTCTTGTATTGATTTTTGCATTAGCCCTTGTATGGGGTACATGAGGGAGTATTTATAGTGTCACTAGTTAGATCGTGACCTTTGGTTCGGGGTATACGTGGTCTCATCCGGTTGAGTTACATGTCAAATTGTAGGCATTAGCCGCACCTAGCCTGTTATACATTTATTGATTGGCAGAGCCGCCTCTACTAGTGACAAGACTTAACATTTACACTCATGACAAACGTCCTATCAATCATTCGAGTAAGATCTTTGTACAGAAGATCTCTTGGGGGAGGTGTCTATGGAAGAAGTTGTTTTGTGCTTCGGAGGCAGTCACTTCGGCTACAGAGTTTCGGCAAACAGGGCCTCGTCCACCTTCAAAAGGCCTCGACATATGGATTTCGGAAGCTCCTCATGAGGCAATGATGAATGGGCCTCGGCTATGCAAATCATCTTGGATTGAGTGCCACGTGATTCGACATAAGTTGGTTGTGGGCCCCGATGGGTTGCGCAAGTGTGCGAACATGTAACAATGTTTGTGTTGCAGCCTTTAAACCTCTAAGTGCTCTACTTTCTTAAAAATTATCAAATATGTGTCACTAATTGTGGGTTCTCAAACAAAATTCTATGATTGCTTAACACTCATTTATATATTGGAATTTGATGTGTACAACCTCTCCTCAAAAGAAGGGGCCCGCATCCGATAAAAAAATCTCGAGCCCTCTTCTTGTGAGGGGGGTTGTACATCGGGGAGCGTAGCCACATCGGTGTACGAGTAACAAAATCCTAATTTATTTTATAATTTGTTATAAGATTATTTTTAATCACACATTTATATAATAAAATATTTTACACGTATATCAAAAAAAATTTCCTACTTTTTAATCACACTTTCTTTCAAAAATATTATTCAATACAATTCTTTGTCACAATTAATGAAAATCAAATAGGCTCTCAATATGCTCTATCGATAGCTAGTCGAAATGTACTTTTGTTTGTCATGTTATTGGGCCTTGCAAACATGTGACATCAGTTAGGACAAACTACGAAATCCTAGATAATTTAACTTGGGAAATAGGACAAACTCGGATACCCTAAATAATTTAACTCGGGAAGTCGCACAATAATTTGAAAATTCACTGACAAACTACTCAGCAGCAAACAAATAGAGCCAAGGACTTTTTGGCTATAAACTTTCATTACTTCAAAATACATAAACAACGATAAAAATTTGTTAAAGGATAAGTGTTGACAATAACTATCAAAAATTACCGATGAGCATTTCCAACGGTGATATTCCAATATTATAGGTAATTCCAGCAATAAATTTACCGATGATTATCTACGGACTTTCCTACTATCGATTTTGTCCATTGGCAATGACTCTTAGAGTATGTTTGATTGGTTAATTTTTTTCATGAAAAATGGAATTTACCCTGCATTTTCCGACTTTTAGTTGTTTGATAAGGTTTAGGGTCCGTTTGGTAGGATTTTGAGAATTGATTTTTTGACCGTTAGAAGAAAAGTGGGGTCCACATGTGAGAGAAGTTACGGCTTGAATAGTAAAATAACGGTAAAAAAATCAACTTTTTGGAACAAAAAATCCCTACCAAACGGGGCCTTCCATGGAATTTAGATTCTTGGTCTTATTGGGAAGTGCAATTTTCTTGCTTTTGTGGGAAAATCAAATTGATCTTCCCAGTTACTGTTTATTTTTTTATTTTTTTTTTGTAATGGAATTTTTTTTTAAGAATTATTGTAAAAAAATATTTCCCTTTAATTGATATTTTTTATGTAAAACAAAATCAAACGAACACCAAAAAATAGATGATTTTCTTGATTTTTTTTGTTGGCAATGGAAACAAATTTCATTCTCAATATCAGTAAAATCTATCTCTTTAATTAACAATTTTCATGTAAAACAAAACCAAACGAACACCAAAAAATACTTTTATTTCAACATTTTTCATGCGAAAAATTATACCAATCAAGCACAATAATTTACAGTTACAAGAAAAACAATTTCTAAACAATTCAATTCCCTGAAATACGTTTTCAATTCAATTCAATTTCATCTTTACAATCAAACGGACCCTTAATTACTATAAAAATTGGCTACAATGATTCAGTGGTGTCATAGCACCAGTTTATATAATTGCATTGATATGTTCAATTAAATGAAGCGTGTCAAATGACATTGTATTTAAATAAATCTATCATTTAATATCATATAATTTGAATTTGAATTAATGCATAACACCAAAGGTGTTAAGTAGCGTTACTTATCAATACATTAGTGTGATCATCGATAGTTTTTGTCTCCTCAAGAATGAAAACTATTAAGCTCTTGTTTGGTTAAACGAAGCTCAAACAAGGGCTAAAATTTAAATCAAGCAAATAAAAGTAAAGGTTGATGGGAAACAATTGCACAGACAATATTTGACAAAACGTAACAAAGGGCGATTTCTTTCGAAGTACACTCCTTGTTATTATAGAGTAACATTTTGCTTATATTCTCAAAATATTTTGTGATAATTTGTTTTAATCCTCATAATCACTTCCCACACTTTTGTGTGTTATAATCTAGGAAACTAAACTTGTAACCTATTTTCACCTCTTTATGTGAAAAAATATATATAAATATATATATTCGATTTAGTTACTCATATTGACTTATTTAATTCAAGTTAGGTCAAAGTCATATGAAATCATTTTCATAAAGAAAAAACCGTAACATCAGTCTTATAATTTTTGAAATATATACGATATGATTCAACGGATTGCTAAATGCTCTTTTGCGGCGTGTCTCGAATCTCAATGCATAACTTGATTAATCACTATTTTGTTGAATTGATAGATAAAATTTTCATACATGGTGTAATGCATAATGGTAATTTTAAGAAGAATATTTGTATACTATATATTAAATTATCACGTTGAAAAATTAAACTTTTTAAAATAAGATAAATTTATTTATATTTTATACATAAGAGCATTACACAAGTGGGTAGTGACTGTTCCAAACTCACTTGTTAACTCTCTCTCTCTCTCTCTAAACTTATTTTCTTGAGCTTCACTTGAATCCCTAAATTTTATGTTTTCACACTCTTTGTTTTGACAAAATGGCTCTAAAAAAGTTAGACAACGAGCTGCCACCGTTAGTGGGAACGCCGCCGGTGGTGGTGGTGGTGGAGCGACGGCACTCCACACATAGCTCACTAGAAACTCTGGTGGTGGTTTTAGCAGTCATCACAATCATAGGAGTTATTGCCGGCATCATTGCGCGGCTCTGTGGTGGACGGCATTTCGGTGGCTCTGGGGAAAATGACATTGAGGGGTGGATAGAAAAGAAGTGCAGAAGCTGCATTGACGCTGGCATTCCGGCCTCGGCGGCGCCACCGAAAGAAGAACCAAAGCCAGCACCGCCGCCGAAGGAAGAAGACAAGAAGTGAAAAATAGCTGTTTCGGCATGTTTGGTAATTTACATTAGACAGTATTATATATATTAAAAAAAAAAGGTTTAAATTATTGTTTTGCGTAGAACTATTCTCTACAATTTAATAGTGTTTGCCAAGTATGTACTTAGGGAGTTAGATTATGATACAGAAATATATACATATATATAGGACTGTTCATTTTTTTGAAACTATTTACAATTTTATCATCAAGATTATTAGCTTAATTTTCATTTTAATTGTTTTTTCATCTTATTTATTTATTTATTTATTTTTTATGTTATTGTCATTGGAAACAATTTATGCATGCTTGATTTTTTATTTTTATTTTTATTTTTTCGAAATCTCCTATATATTGATTTCACCATGCTTTATTATCCTAATTAATATTTATAAATGAATAATATAATTTATTTAGGTGTTTAAGGAAAAAAACTCTAACCTTTACTCCTTCAAAGTAATTATTGTTGCGAGTTGAATGATTTACTTTACTTTTCGTCAATTGCTTGAAACTAACCGTTGGAGGCAATCTACTTTTTTTGTCTGCCACTGAAGATTTTATTATAATTAAAATGTCTTAAAGAGAGAGTCCACTAATTATGAATTTGACTAGAATTTTTCAGTTATTATGAAATTTTAAATTGTAATATTATTTTTAAAGGGAAATGTAGTCCCTAAACTATAAACTTTGGAGCATCTGGGTCCGTAGTAAAAATTTCTTGATTTTCATTTCACAAACTTTGATTTATGTTGCACTTATGTACTTAAATAATAACATTTTGTGCATAATTTTGGCGATAGTCTTCAAATATAATTCATAATATTCCATTTCTTTAATAGTGGATTTAGATCAACATTTATTGTTAAAGAAAAAGTCAATTCTTGAAAGTAGGGGATTTGTGATATATAATAGAACAGAAAAACAAAGGGACTTTTAATTTTAAAAGAAACAACCCAAATTTATTAAATATAACCGATACAATAAGGATATAATAATCCTCGAGGTGACAATTAACCTTATTATCTTCTGGTGTATAAGGAATTAATCATATATTTTTGTGTAAATAGATGTACATGACTAAATCCTAGACCTCGAGACAATCTATGTAAGACAATACGACCACTATACATGCTGCTGGCTAGACTTTCTTTGCATGATACCTGCTTTTCGACGATTCATAGTATTTATTCCTATGAAATTAATATCCTACTTACAAAGATTTGATTCATTCTGAATTAACGAATTCAAAACGTGAACGTGATTGAAGACAAAGTGGTGAAACGATTCCCAAATTCTCCAAATTTACAATGTTATTGCACACAGCTTTAACCGATCCATTTCCTTCACGTACTATGTTAACATTTTGCAAAACGATTCCTTGACATGGATAGCTCTTACTGCAATCCAAATTGATAGCTACATTTGAAGCACTTGTTTCGTGTATATTCTGATACACCACATTTTTCACTTGTACCGTCGAACTCTGTAAAAAATGAGATTCAATTTGTCACGGAATAAAGCTGAGCCATGAGTCACACTTTTTCGTTGTAAACTACCTAATTGATGGGAGTTAGATGTGTTCTTTTAGTAGTTTAAAAATGAAAAATTAAATATAAATTTAAGAGAGCATAAACTAACCTCCAATAACATGAAAGTAAGAAACACAAAGTAAATTTAGCGATTTCTACTAATATATACATATGGGGCATTTCATGTGTAAGCATAAATAAGGGATCAAAATCCTGCTATTGATGATGATTTTACATTGGGTTTTAGCAAGATTTGAATTAGTATATGTGCAAATTAAGTGGAGTTTTCATTTTATTTATTTATTTATTTATTTATTTTTACCTGCTCTTTACATGCTTTAGCTTGATCACAATGGTTTTGGTCTATAACTATGGGATTCTTCACATTTTGCATCTCCACATTTTGAAATTTGATGTTGCTTGCACTTCCAGATCCACCCTGCACAAATTACTCATACAATAAGTCGAATTAATTAAGAATTCTTCGAAAGTTTGATTTTGTGTTCATGCACGTGCTTGAGCTCGCACTCATATGCACGTGCTATATGACATTTCTTATGCGCACACAAATAGTTACCTGCCATGTCTTAATTCGGACTCCGTTTGTCGTTCCAGAAAGCTTAGCTCCATTCACGATAACATCTGAGACATAAGCTTCTGAATTGCTAGATCCCAAGCTTCCAATACTAATCAAGTTGAAAAATTGAGAAAAAAAGTTACTTTCAACATTGAAAATGTTTTTTATAAGATCAAATATAGGTGTTTTGAATCTAAAAACCTGATGCCATGACCCGGTCCACAAGTGATATCCGTTGCCTGGACATTTTGCGATCCACTAACAATTGAAATGCAATCGTCACCTTAAGACAACATCGAATGTAAAATCTACAAATTAAGAAATAACATTTTTATTGATCAAATTAAATAGAGTCAAGATTACTAGTTCTATACCTGTCCCTATTGTACAATTCGAAATTTGGATGTTTTGAGTGTTCGTGACATGAATGCCATCTGTGTTGGGGCTTTCCTCAGGAGCGGATATCGAGAGACTTGAAGCTTGAACATTTGTGCACTTTTGGAAGGACACATGAATTTGTTGTGCATGTTGAATCTTTAGGTCCTTCACTACCAAATTTTTGCACTTGTACAAGGTTAAGGCCTGTAATAACAATAAGGATTAACATAAAAATAATAAAAATAATTCAGAAATAAGTATTATATTGATTTTGGCAACCATTATGAACCAAAAATTTTTAACACCTAAATAATTTGTTACCACAACAATACAATCAAACTATTATGAAAGTAATTAGAGAAAATTAGGGCAATCAAAATCTCAAAAATTACGGAAAATAAATGCACAAATTAATTGAAAGAAGTCATCATACCGTGGGTGCATCCTTGCATGGCTGGAAAAAAAAAAAATAACAAAATTATTAGTCTAATTAAAAAAGAATTATAAACAAACAAATAAATAAATAGTGTACGAATTGATTTTTTCTGATTTAATTCTTACTTTAGATTTATCTATTTTGCAGGAGTTTTTCCACCATACATTCCCATTGCCATTAATAATTTTACCACCTTCAAGCATTAAATCTTGGACACTGTCAAAAATAAGCCAGTGCCTTCCATCCTTACAGTAGTCTGAAGGATTATCAGATGCTACTAGGGTTCCTGCAATCTGCATATTTTTTAAAGAATAATTATTTTCTGTAAATAAATTTATTGATGCTAAAAAGCATGTTTGGAAAATCTCAAAAGAACTTCAAATTTACTTTTAAGTAATTTTTATTTGAAAAAAGAGTTGGTCTTACCTGGAATCTTATGTCCGATTTACAAGGGCCCGAGAATCTAACAGGTTTCAGAAGATAATTCTTTCCCATGGGTACAATAAGAGTAACAGCTTCTGTGGAAGAACAGGCTTCACTCCGTGCATCTTGAAATGCCTGGGAAATTAAACACAGTTGCATAGCAAATAAGTAAATGGTTTGAATAACCTGATGTAAAAGCTTAGCCCTATTTGACAACTATTAAAATGAGTTTTGAAATAGTATTTTTTTTGCAAAATGTGTGATTAAAAAAAAAAAAATTATATATATATATATATATATATTTGAGCTTTTGTGAAGAATATCTTATTGTGAAAATATTGGTTGAAAATGAGTGAGATAAAAAAGAGTTCTGTTTTAATAGTCGTCAAACAAACAGGGGCTTAATCTGAAAGAGACGGGATGCATTTTCTCATTAAAAATTAATCTTCAATAGGTCCTGTTATATGATAGTCAGATTCATATTCGATTTTCTTGAATAGGTGACAGTGACAGTGACACTTGAATTCAATACGTATGTGTAGACTAATATTTTTGTTGAATCACGTTAAAACTTAAGATCGTATAGTCTTCAACACAACCTATTCTACTAAATTCATGTCCCTCTTTTGGACTATAAATTGTTGAGGAAGTCGTTCAAAGGATGATACATCATCATTTTTGCTATGCTTATTTAAGACAAATTATAAATTTAAAAAATTTCTGGCATAAATACCTAATTAATAACAAATCCTCTTACTGAATTTTGGTTTCAAGCCTATAATAAGAGAAATGCTATTCATAGTCGCTTACTGCAGTAGTCGTCTTATGTGACATTCTACGTGAGGGTTTTTGATTCAATACATAAACGTGTTAGTTTTTTTTGTCTCATACATCAAATTATTGACACAAATATGCCTCACAAAGCGACTGCAAATAGCATTATTTCTATAGTAAAGACTTACCTTAGTATCATCGGTACTTCCATCGCCTATAGCTCCGAAGTTCTGTACATTGATTGTCTTAACAAAAGCTGCAAGCCGTCGAAACTTAGTTGGATAATCAGAAACTCTGGTTTCGATCTTGGTCATGTTGTTGAATATGAGGCCTTCAATGGTGCTAATATATGAAGGATAAGCTTCAAAATCATAAGCAGATTCTTCTTGAATATAATTATTACTTGGTAAATTATCATCATGAAGGCTGCAATTGTAACATGAACTTAAAAACAGAAAAAATGTAATGATGAATGGGAAGATATTCCCCATTTGATAAGACATTATATGCTTTTAAAAATTTTCTTGCAAATGAATTATGGGATTATCCAAAAACTATGTAGGATAGTATATTTTGTATTGATACGAGGTATTGGTGTGATTGCAAAGTTATGTCTAGTATATTTATAAAGTGGGGGTGGGTGGGGTGGGGGGTGTTCCATACGACTCTTAATAGTATGGAATATTGGGATAGGAAAGATTCATACGAAAGGGTCCCTAAAATCAGTTGCTGACTTTTTGCTCCATGCTTGCATAAAATATATTCAAATTACACCATTCATTCATATATAACGAATATTACACACTTGATGATGCATACTTAATCGTTACATATGCAAGTTTTTCTACATTTATACTTTGAAAAAAGCAAAAGATTGAATGACTCAATTCATTGCTGTTCAACATGAAAGAAATTAGTGATGGATTTGTTGCGTAACGGAAATTTGGGTATCAAAGATGGAAAAATATGTCTCTAAAGTTTATCACCCTGTATGATAGGGACTAAAATTATATTTTTAGTACATTTTGATAAAAGTTGATGAAATGTGAGGTTGAAAATTTGTGGGACTCATTAAATATATGATTACATTGATTGTTGACTTTGATTTAGATTAAAATATGAATTTTGATCATGACCAAACAAGGGCTATATATTATGTAGTTATCTATGATATGAGTTGTGAATTTTCTCAAATTTCAATGAATTTTACTAACTCTTTTATTAATGAATGAAGCTCCTAAGGGAGACGGGAAATAGATTTCAATAGTTAGTAATTAGTCCATGCTTATTTTGTATTTCAAAAGGTTAAAAAGCAGCCCTCTTCCCCTATCTTTGAATCCTTTTGCACTTTTGTAGCCACTTTGGGGACAAAAGTGCAAAAAGGGTCCAAGAATAATTCAAACTTGATGAAACCATACATAACGAGCCCAAATGCAAGTATTGAGCACTATTGTAACCAGTTTTGCATTTTTATAAATGCAAAATATTAATCACAAGTGATCAATAAGTCAAGTAAATTTGGCGAGTATTAGCCTTGTTCGATTTTCATTATTTTTCTTAATATATCACACGTTCTTTAATAAAATAATATTACATGCAAATTCAAAATTTTTCTTTATTTTTTAACCGTACATCCTCCATTAAAATATTATGCCAAAATACACTTTGGACAAAAAATGGAGCTTAAACAGGCTTTTTGTTTTCTATTAATTATCAGGATGACAAAAAGTCGCATATGACTAATAATTCTAGTTTATAATTTGCACATCAAACCTTCCAGATTGATGATGCAAAGGTAGTGGCACTTAGGGACGGGCTTCTCTTTGCTAATAATAATGGTCTCATTCTAGAGAAGGTTGAATGTGATTCTCATCGCTTTGGTGGATGCACAGAGTGGCTCTTGCTTCTTATTTTTTGCCTACTTGTGAAATTTTGATCTGGACATATTGTATCACACTTTTTTGTCTCATCTTTAATTAACGGCGACCTCTATTAATAAAAGGCGTTTAACTTCAAAAAAAAAAAAAAAAAACAACTTCCATCGAAACACTATGTTGCTCCATTTTAATAACACGCGCTATTGAATAAAAGGATGATACGAGAATTGATATGTCATAAATTTACCATACTTGCCTGCGTTTTAAGAATATGTCTAAATTAATCTTGCCCATAAAGGTTATCACTTATGAAGATGCCCTAAAAGATTACACGTGTCACGTGTCTATTTGCTGAGATTCTTGTCATAAGAAATGTATGGTAAGAGAACGTAAGAATGGGTTTAGGGTAAAGGAATTTGTGATTTGTGTTCTTTTTAGGGTTAGTCTTGTGTTTCATAATGAATGCAAAGATCTCTCCCCCCTCACATGCGTGCACGCTAACGATTACAACTACGTGATCTTGAAGGTGTATGTGAATTGGCCTGTACAGGCTATTTCTAGACCAGATTAGATGCAAGGCATTCACCCTTGTCTAGACGAGCCACTGAAACCAAATGTTTTTAACTTTAATTTTATTTTTATTTTTTTGGGAACTGTTGACACATAAAAATTCAGCCCAAATCGAACGGCCCAAGGAATGAAGCCCAATTGGAGGATCCCCAAATCAGATAGCCCAAAGAACGAAACCCAATCAGACAATTCAGGATGAAGGTCCAAATAGGGAGGCCCATGAACGCGGTAACACCATCGCCCAAGCTTGCAAGTCGCCCAGGATCTGAGCGAATGGAATGCCATACAATCGCCCAGAGCTGCTACTCTATTCTCGCCCAAACCTTCGAGTCGCCCAAAGTCTTAGCAAACATGAAGTGTTATGGTTATCAAGAAGCGCAGTTATCAAAGCCGTTATTAAGCAGCCCTATCACGTTCCACGATTCAAGGAGTTCAATTGAAGACGGTTGAACGACAAAGAGTAATGGCAGCAGTTAGAAAAGGCAGTTCCATGACAAGTTGGCCATTACGAGGAAAGTAGGCAGTTATAGAACGATCAAGCAGTTTTTAGGCTGTTGATCACAAAGAGATCATCCAAGGAGTATAAAAGGAAGAAAAGACATAGAGCAAAAACCCCGAATAAAAAAACTCTCGAACAGAGAACATGTAATTTTAAATTTCTTAGTTTAGATTTAAACACTTCTTTCAGTAACTCGTGTGCTTGCGCCTCTTGGAGGCGTTTTGTTTTTACTTTCCGATTGTAAAGTCATCGCCAATAAAGAACACTCTTTTTTGGGACTTTGTCTCAAGAGATTTGTCCCTTACATAATCGTCTGATCCCTTTTTAATTGTTAGCGACTAACCCGCGCGAAACAATTTGGCATACCCGGTGGGACCGTGGTGTTTGGTGTTGAAAATACAAAAGGTGAAATAATATGTCTCAGAGATCCGATAAGGAAGCAGCAAGTCAGGGAGGAGTCCAGTCTGTGATCGAGCGATATGAGGAGCAGCATGCCTCTCCACGAACAGATGGACAGAAACAGAGCAGTAACAGTCGTTACGAACCAATGACAGAGTAGAGTCCTCGAACTATGCGTGCACTGCTTGGAGAACTCACACAAGATGTTGTTGAACAGGTAAATCTTCGAAATATTCATAATATGGAAAGATTTACCCAAAATGAGAATGCACATTATGACAACATGGCCAACACAACTAAACACTTTGAACGAAATAATGAATAAGTTAGTAGGCCAAATATGTCAACCGGTTCTGCCTCTTGCAAACCACTTTCAAACTAGGACAATTGTGGGACATAATCCCTCAGTCCTAAATCCGAATCAAGGGATAAAACCACTTTCTGGTCCCTCTACTTCAAACCAAGGGGGTGGTGCAGTGCCAAATCAGAACAATAGTAGTGGTGCGCCTAACTTGGGGGTAATCCAAATGTAAGAGATAATGTCCTAAACAATGGACAGAATACCCCACGTGTTAATGAGGAAATAGATGTTCAGGCTAATGGTAATGGCCCAAATCATGGTAACTTTGTTGCCAATCAAGGACCAAACATCAGGCCTCATGCAAATCAACCGATTAACCAACCTGTAGGAATTCCATATGACCCCAACGTCATGTTGAGAAATCAGATTATGGAAATCGTTTTGGGGTGTGTCCTGTCATTAGGCCGACTTACACAAAGTCATATCCTGATTGGGTAGACCAAGCATATCCATGGCTTAGAGGGTATAAAGTGCCAGAATTCTCACTGTTTACCGATTTAGGGGAGGTGTCTACTCTAAAACACATAGGGCGATTCACATTACAAAGTGGTGATGTAACTGATTACCATAAAATGAGGTTTTTCCCTAATTCATTAACAGGAGTAGCTTTCTCCTGGATCATTAACTTGTCAGCGAACTCTGTTCAAATATGGCAACAATTGGAACAATTATTCCACGCTCATTTTTATAAAACTGAGTCTGAAGTTACTTTGGCTGATTTGGCGAATCTACGTCAAATGCCAAACGAATGGGTAGAAAGTTTTCTCCAAAGGTTCAAGACAGCAAGAAGCAAGTGTTTTGTACCTCTGCCCAAAAAGGAATTTGTCAAAATCACTCAGGGTTGCTTGAGCTTTGATTTAAAAAAAGAAATTTCAAGACAAGGAATTTCCTGACATTTTCCAGTTGAGTGCGAATGTGATCAGGTATGAACGACTGATAAGAGAAGAAGAGCAAATGAAAGATTCTAGTAAAGGGACTTATTACAAAGACCCAAATTTTGACGTTCATATCATCAGTGACGAGTCATACGATCAAGCCGAAATGTGTTTGGTCGAATTGGTCAAAGGAGACACGTATACTTGTCCTATAATGGCTAAGTCTAGACCATCGGGTAAGGATGAGCCCATGAAAGATGGAAACATAAAGGCTAGAACGTTCTCGTTCGATGTAACCAAGGCTGACCTTATATTTGATAAATTATATAGGGATAAACAGATAAAACTGAGCGAAAAGCATAAATTGCCAAACCCTGAACAAATTAAGGGTAAAAAATATTGTAAATGGCATAATTCATGGTCACAGTTGACTAACAATTGCTTGGTTTTTCGTCATGTATTGCAGGATGCCATTGAATTAGTACGAATTACGTTCGACGATAAGAAGGAGATGGCAGTGGATGAAAATTCTTTTCCACAACCACTTGGAGTGAACATGGTAACGGCTGGTTTCAAAAACAAGTTGCCAAAATTCAAGTTGGTCATAGATGATGGAGAAGAGGACCCTGGACCACATCCCAGTGTCTTTGAACGAATCAAGGGGAAGGAGCTGTGTGCAAGATGTAAAAGAGAAGTGAGTGGGAACATGGAGAAACCAGGGATATGGCAGCATCCCCATCGCCCTACTTTCTTCCCAAACACTCAGGCTGGTAGAGGATGAGATACATCATTCTATAGAGGACCGCCTTTTAAGAGGCAGTTCAGGCCAGTAGATAATGGGAGAACCTTCAGGTCGCAACCCCGCCGGCTAAATGTATGACATTCGTTCTAGTATAATGCAGGAAGGGCA